AAACATTTAAACTATCGCAAATGCAAGATTCGAAAAATGAACCTTCTTGATAGAAAGCGTAGGTTTGAGCAATGTGAGAACTTGCTGCGTGTAAAATCGTTCATCAGTATGAAGAACTCGTGCAAGCGCCGTTATCGTTATATCCCAGTCCTCGGTGAACATATCCCGCAAACAATCTGCCGGCACGCTAAACATCACCGTCTCACCTGACAAAGCTTTTAGCTAAATTAGCTTTGAAAAGTAATTGAAATGCAAATTCGTAAAAATATGGTAGTACAAGTTTCCATTACTCAAAGCAGTCATTGAGACTCATTTTTGCATACGAGTACCTGCCAATTTTGATTTTAAATACAATTAAGAATACTTAAATAGTCTTCCAAAAAATTTTTTTCCAAATTTTTGCGAACTTTTGTTTTTTAACAGTTTTATTCAAAAATTTTTTTAAAACTTTCAAATTTTATTATTAAATCTCCTAGTTTCGGCAGCCCTCGATATCAAAAAGACAGTAATAAGTAAGACAAATTTTTAAATCAAAAATACACAAACAACAAACAAACAAACAAATAATAGTGATAAAATTGCCGAAACCGGAATCTTATTCGACAATATGGATAATAGAGATATTAGTTATGACATGCATGTATATAGTGTTTATGTAAAAATGTATTAAAAAAATGAATATTGCACGGCTATTACGCAAAAAAAGTCTTAAAAAAAGTGTACTTTGTTTGGGCTTGAGGATGAGAAGCTCCTCGAAAAGATACACATGTGCGATCACCAACCCCGTGTAACTCGTCAAATCAACTTGTATTCGAGCAGTGACCGTTCGCTCCAACGAACTTTTGCTCGCAATTGCCAAATGACCAGCTATTGGCCTATCAATTCTAATCTGCAACTTTTCGGAAAACACAGTTTATGTTGAAACCATCAAAGTGTAGCATACACAATCTAATTTTCTGCGTGACAGCAGTGATGGTTCGGTCAATCACAAATTAAGGCATTTACATGTGCACTAGTCAATCTTGACTAGAAAACTATTAAACAACAAACAGCAATTTGCTGCAAAAGATCATTTAGATTGTAAATTTTTAGAAACAGCTTTTCTGTTAGGCGCGCGCCTCAAGGTTAAAGGCAGGGGCACTGAGGATTGGACGTGTTTTTAAACTTGCATTCCCTGACGTGACCCGAAATTACTATCTTAAATTCTTG